AGCAGCACGGAGCCCCACGAGCTCTGTGATTTAACTGTGGGAACGAGTCGCTTCTCAGGCTCTGCTCCCCTCTGTCGAGTTGCTACTTCCTGAAGAGGCTTCTTGCGAACGGGCACCGGGTCGACGCTTCCTTTCTCAAAGCGTTTCGCACAAGTGGGTGTTTCCTGACACCGTTTCACATGTTTAGTGGACAATTAGTTAACTTTTAGCTCATTTGTTTGCCACCCAGTCCCTGGATTCTGGTCTCTCAGCAGCCTAGAGGTAACACTTTAGGTATTCTCCAGCCCGAAGGGTTACAAATTGTTCCGTGTGCTGAAGTGATTTCTCTCCCATGTGGATTCACGGCTCGCAGTCACTCTGAGCACCGCAGACTTCCCGCACAGCTCCAGCACGTCCCGAACAGCTACAGGCGCCGGTGAAAGCTGCGAAACAGCTCTGCAGACCCCTGCCAGTCGGTCTGCGGAAAATAACCCCCCCAACCTTCCCCCTCTGCCTGGGAGGGGGCTCGGGACAGCTCTTTGACAGCCTCCTCCTTCCCATGGTCCCACGCAGAGCTGGGGGATCCTGCCGCAGCCCTGCCTCCCGCCCAGCAAGGGTGACAGCCAAGCGGGCTGCGAAAACCCCAGCTTGAGGGGATTTTCTATATGGAGTGCATCACGGAGCCCCTGATCTCCGTGCAGGGCCAACCCGCCAGCGTCAGATGTGTTTCTTGCACGTGACTCTCCTGATGCTTCATCAGACTCCTCCGGAGCACGAACCTTTTCCTGCAGAGGGGGCACTGGAAGAGCCCCTCTCCGGAGTGCCGGCGCTGGTGGTTTAGCAGATAATCCTTCCTCCTGTAGCTTTTGTCACACTCGGAGCACTTGTACGGCCTCTCTCCCGTGTGAGTCATCTGGTGCCTAACGAGCCACGAATGGCAATCGAAGCTTTTCCCACAGTCGCTGCAAATGTAGGACTTGCCCCGGCCCTGGCTCTGCTGCTGGTGTGCGGGGCTGCCCCTGGGCACCAAGTGCTGCCTGTCCTGTGCGTGATCCCAGCATGGGCTGCCCAACGCGTTTTCCGTGGGGAAGTTCTCCTCGCTTTCCACCGATGGCTGCTCCTCTCCGACGAGGTCATTGCGGTCACGAAGCCTGGTTCCGCCCGCAGGGTTTTGCCCACGCTCGGGGCGGGCCACCAGCTGCGGCCCCGCGGGCAGCCCCTCGCAGGAGGCGTGAGCAGCCGCCGGCCCAAGGCCTTGCTCACCCGGAGCACATAGCTGCGAGTGCAGCAGATGGAACACCCTTTCACTGAGACTCTTCTCGCATGCAGGGCCTGGAAACGTCTCCCCTTCTCGGGCTCCCTGGGGAGTCTGAAGATGTTCGTTCCGGGTGGAATTTCTCTCACATCTGCTGTATGCGCACGGCCTCTTTCCGACACTGTTTTCCTGAGTGCTAAAGAAATCCACGTGCTCACCAAACCCTCGGTCGCACCGAGCGTCACCCCCAAGGCCGTTCCCAGTGGTGTTCATTTCCATCATTTCTGACTCGCGCTGATTGTCCCATGTCACGCCGGGGCTAGGATCTTGGGAAAACTTTTCTCCAGGTCTTCCTGGTGCCTCTGAGTCACACACCGTGCTTTCAAAGCAATCTGCCGGATGGTCCCTCTTTGCGTTTTCATCGTGCACTGAAACAGACAGATCGCAGAGTCTTTCAGTTAAGGAAGCTGCTTAAGAATATCCCTCCAAGTCTACAGCCATGTCACGCTAATGGACAAAGTAAACAAGGTGGGAGGTTTGAATACTGAGTGGGAGAGAAAGTACCAGAGTTCCACTGGAACAAAATCTTCAGGAAAATAGAAGATATTTTTGCAATTTATTTTTCTTTTTCAATCTATACAAAAATGCACTAATGCAAAGTCTGAGCTTCAGCCTCTCATTTGGACGTCTGAAGTGTGAGGTCTAAGCTCCCTGACAGAGGACACCGTCACACCTTGGTGCTTCTTAACTGCTCTCCAGCCACTCCACCCAGCATCTAGGGAAGTGAGGGTCCAAGCTGAGGCACCGAAGGCGGCTCAGCGCGTCAGTGTGGGTGCACCCCTTCTTGTACGTGAACTGTTGTCTCTGCAGGCTGGGATTCTGCAGGGAGATGCTCTCCAGCCATCTCCTTGTTCAGAGAGCTTGGAGTGGTGCGGAGTGGTGCTGAGTGGAGGGAGCTCTCGCACCTTGCAAGTGATCACCAGACAGGCACACAGCTCCGGCTCAGTGCGGAGGCACGCTAAGACTGAGAGCCGTTGGTCAGACTGCCTCTCCCCTAGACGCCTCTCCTGCTTTCCTTGGAAAACGAACTTTCCCCGGGCTCCTGATAATGCAACCCATAAAGGTACCCAGCGCCTTAGCTGCTTAGGCACAGCTCTAGATTTGCCATCGGACAACACTATTGTGCTGACCTGCAAATTCCCTCTTTCTGTTTCCCATGACAAATATCCACCGTTTCATTTTCCAGATTATTCTCACCAACGCTCTTCAGCCCAGCTTTCTAATGCTCCATGATTTTTCTGTCCCCTAAGACCTGTCACCCTCCCAGCAGCTGCGAGTTGCTACAGAAAAACACCGAGCATCATGAAGGACCCCGGGTCTCTGAGCAGCATCAGCCAGCTGAGTCCAAAGTTATCTGCACCGCACAAACACCCTGAGCTCTGATTTCTCTGGCTGCATACCGTGACATCAGCGCACAAACATGTTACCACAGGCCAAGCTAACACGTGAATGCAGAAGGCGCTGGTTGCTCTACAGTAATTGTCTAAGCATGTCCTCTGAACCCAGTAACCCAGGTTATGTGTGAACACAGACTGAAAGGGCTGGAACAGACTGGGTTGACTGGGGAGCCCACCCTGCGAGGTCTCTCGGAGCAGCTGGGACAGGTCTCCCTCAGGAAGGAGTTAGGTGGAGCTGATCCAGCCTTGCACCAGGGCAATATCCTGCATGACCTTTTTCTGTGGGGCAGAATCATTCACGTCGGCAGTTCCCACGCATACCGAGAATTTATCCCTTGATTTACTCAACAGTAACTTTATCACGTGCCCATGAATGTTCAAATAACTCACGTGAAGTGAAGGCATTCCAGGCTACCAACTGATTTCTACACAAAATATTTCTCTGCACCCCCTCCTCAGTTACCCACTGAAGAGCTACACTGAGCGGTCCCAGGTTGTGGCCCAAGAGATGATATTTAATATCCCCATCCAAATGTGCACACCCATTCCCTGACGTTAAGCCTTGTTCCAAAGATGAATTTCCCTCTATTAACTCCACACTCCAAGTGCGCTCGGTGCAAAAATTCCTCTGCATGCATGTTAGCATGCTCATCTTCAAATCACATGCCACATTTTGCATTAAAGCCGCCTTCTCTTCTGCTGCAGGATAGCTCTCCTGCTTGGGAACACAAAGTCAGGACTCCACGTTCACCGGTACCAGGTTTAGACACCATCAAGCCAGCTGGAAGTACAGACTTGATCCGTTAGGCCCGAGCACACCACTGTGCTTGCCTAAACAGAAACCCAAGACAGCACCTATGGCAGCTTCAGGCCAGCTGAAGGAAGAAGCAGACTCTTCAGCTGACAGAACCTGAAATTTCTGCGAACAAATATTAACTAGGAGACGGAGGTTTGTTCCAGTTCTTTCACGGCTTACATTGTAAGGTGTGACATTTAATATAGTACAGAAAAATGATCAAAATCAGATTTACTGTCCCAGAAATCTCAGCTGAAATCCATTACTGACCTGTACTTGAATCTATAGAGATTTCTTCTTTCGCCAAGTCCTGTCGTTCAGGGCAGCGTGGCTCCTCCTCTTGTTTAATCCATGATAAAACATCAGTTGCGTAAGTCTGAAATCCTGTTCATTGAGGAGAATTTACACAATTGAGAAACACTGGAGAAAGACGAAGGAAGGTTCGGGAATTCACAAAGACAAGAAAAGGGCTGACAAAGCCTCAGCGAAGACGTGACAGGAGGAGTCACCTGAGGGGCGATTCCTGCAGTGGGAGTTTTTGCCCCGTGCTTCTTTCCCTTTCTTGTCCTGACTTGAACCCTCGAGCTCATAAAATGCTTGCTCTCCTAAAGGAGAAAAAAAAAGACAAGCCTATCAAAAGAGCATAAGCTCGGGATTTCGCAAGGGCTCTTGTTTTCTCCCAGGCCAACCCTGGATTTTTCACAAGCTCCCAGACATCCAGTTTCTTAACGAAACATGATGGAAAGGTCTAAAAACCCCAGTTTGCTTCCCACTGGAAGCCAAGTAAAATCACAGTGGAGCCAACAGATAGAGCTGCTACCCTTTGTAAAGAGTGAGGACAGTCAAGCTCCAAAGCAGAATAGTTTACTTGTAACGCTGAGAGGTACCACCAAGTGAGAAGGCAAGAAGCAGGTCCCCAGGCTGCGCGACCGCCCCGCACAGCAACAGCACTACCAAGTTGCTGGCGCGCTCGCTCGCGTACGCCAAAAAAACACAGAAGAGAAGGGAGGAGGGAAAAGGCAACCTGAAGCCTCTGGATACGCAGGAGGAGAGGCCCTCAAGAGAAGGCCGTGGGGGACGTGGGTCTGAGGAGCTGCCAGAGCTCCGATTCCCCCGTAGCCAGAACAGCGCATGCAGTCCTGCCTCCATGCAGTCGCAGCCCCGTGCAGCGGATGGCACCAACCACAGACCTCAATCTGGCACTGGTTTTTGCCTCCTCCAAGTTAAGCCATTGGCCTCAAAAGGTGAATAACGGCCCACTTTGCACTAGATATTTAACCAGCTCCAACTGGAGGGAAGCACAGTAAGGAATTTAAGGGCGAATGAACCATTTCCTATTCCACGCTGCACTTGCTTGGATGAAAACCAGCCATGAACCCTGCAAGCGCCAAAATGGCCGTGAGAAGGGAAAGGTGAAACGCCAGCCCTTACGCATCAGGACTGGTGGCAAGTCTGTTCAAAACTCGTGAGCTTTTTATAAAAGATTCGGAATACAGGAGAAGAGGTGGGGAAAAAAAACAACCTTGGAATTTAATCCCTCTGTTTCATTTTCCCTCCGAGGTACGCAGTTACTCACCTGGGCAGGGCTCTTCGGGAACTTCTTCAGCCTCCCCCTCCTGCTGATCTGCAGCGCACAGCTCTTCCTCTTGCTTAACATGGATTATGCCATCTTCTGTAAAAAGAACCAATGTTATTTTAATTCCATGCACAAAATTCATTCCCATTCTCAGCCCATCCCAGGCACAGCAGCTCTGTTGTAGCTCACGTTCTAGAGAAAACCTCACTTCAGTTCTAGTTCTTGCTGATGATGGTCTCTCAAACAGACCTAAAATATTCATCGCAAAACCCTCAGCAGATACTTGAGCTCCAGAAACACACGAGAGTTTCACGCAAGTGTAATGTCTATTTTGTCATGGTGCCCGTTAGCAAGCAAAATCATGTTCTATGTGGCCCCGGGAGAGGAGGGCACAACTTGAATTCTCATTCTCAAGTTCTGTTTCTCTTTCGGCTCTGCCAGAATTATGCCATTCCCTTTTCAGTCGCCGCCGGTAAAACGCACACCGCTGCTAACCCGTCGGTAAAGCACTTAGTGAGAATTACGGACAAAACTTACCGAAAAAAAGGAAAAAAAAAGTGAAATACACAAGAAAAAACAGGATCTGATGCTCTGCACATTACCTTTATACCTCTGACACAAGGAATCAGAGGAATACGTTGCACGTGCGTGAAAACAACTACACTGTGTACATTTATGCACGCAGAAGTCCTCTTGACAGCCAGCCTTCAGATGGGAAAACGGAACGTCACCCCACTTCGACTGGCAATGCAGCCACGGCCTGGTGGCAAGAGGACTGCGGGCAGCTCGGCAGCCGGGCGAGGGGCGAAAGGGGGCTCGACGCCGCGGCCTGGC